TTATATTGTCATGTGTTAATGGTCAGTTGTTGTTTGCTGTTGTTGGTTCTCTGTCCAAAGGACTCCCTTTAGCATCTTTTGTAAGGTTGGTCTAGTTTTAACAAATTCCCTTAATTTCTGCTTATCTGGACATGTCCTAATTTCATCATCACATTTGAGGGACAGTTTTGCTGTATCTATAATTCTTGGTTGGAAATTTTTTTGTTTCAGGGTTTTATATATACCATCCCATTGCCTTCTCACCTGTGTGGTATCTGACAAGAAATCTGAGCTTAGTTTTATTGGTTACCCTTGTAGGCAACTTTTGATTTATCCCATGTTGCTTTCAGGATTCTTTCTTTGTCTTTGGTTTTGGTGAGTTTGATGATGATATGTCTTGGTGATTTTCTTTTGGGGGTTTTTCCTGGTTGGGGTTCGTTGGACTTCTTAAATGGATATATCCTCATCTTTCATCATCCCAGGGAAATTCTCTTCCAGTAAATCTTTGACAATTTTTTCTGAGGTTTTATGTTTCTCTTCCTGTTATGGAATTCCAGTTACACATAGTTTATTCCTTTTGATGGTATCCCACATGAATCTTAGGGTTTCTTCATTTTGTTTTGATCTTTTTTCTGATTGACCCCTTTCCAAAAAAATATTGAGGTATTTGTCTTCAGTCTTACCAATTCTGTCTTCCATTGATTCAGTTCTACTCCTTTGCCCTTTCAATGTGTTCTCTGTTTCTGAAAATTTAGTATTACTCTTCTGGATTTCTATCTGTAGATTTTGTATCATTTCTGATTTTTAATTTATTTTGTCAGTTAGTTCCTGTATTGTCTTTTTAAATTGTTCTAGGGTTTTTCTTGTGTTTTCCTCAATTTTGTCATTGTTTTCCTTGATCCATCTCTTTATCCTTTGAAGGTACCTAAATATAATTATTTTGAATTCCTTATCAGGGAGTTCCAATCTGCTTCTTCCTCAGGGATGTGTTCTGGGTCTGTATCCTGGTCCTTTGTTTCTCCCCCTTTATCTTGCTTTATGTGGACTATGATGCCCTGTTGTCTCCAAGACATTATGGCATTTTTGTGTTTATATTTAATTGGTGATTGTATGTTGGAGCTATTTGGCCAAGATTTTCATTTTCTTTGTTTTTGGATGTTATCTAAGTAAGTAAGGTACTGTGCTCCTCCTTTCACTAGTTGGCAGCACTTATACACTAACCACCTGTCTCCTTTCTTTTTGTCAGCCTCCCATCTGTCTCTGTTGTCCTTGGCGTGTGGGACGTATTCTTAGGTCCCTGGAATCTGAATGAGAATGATTTAATATCCAAAATGGCCACTTTAAATATCCAAAATGGCCACCACTTGTAAACAGTCAAAATGGCTGTACCCTCTGGCCAGCCCAAAGTCCACAACTCAGGTTTTCTCCCTCTTTGTTGTTTCCCTTCCTAGTCATTGGCTACCAGCACAGTCATCCCTGCAGCCGTAGGCAAACAGAGCTGATCTTTAGGTCAATTTTGAGGTCCAACACCACTTGGAAATATTCAGGCTGTTGGTGTCGTCAGAGTCGCTGACAGTCTGCAGCTCTGTCCATCTCTGTTCTCTCTCTTCTCATTCAGTTTCTTCCACTATTTGGTGCCTAATCCACTTCTGTATACTTCCTTTCAAAGCTCAGGGCTCCAGAATTATCATCTGTATCTCTGTCAATTGGCTTCTCTTTTCTTTGTTGAAGAAGGTCTGTGTAGCTTGCCTGCCTATTCCACCATCTTACCAGAAGTCCTGTGTCTACCTTTACGTATGTTATTGCATGTAATCCTGACAACAGCCCTGTGAGATTTTAGGAACAATCTCATAGCTGTATATTATAACACACACTAAGTGGCCAAGCCTTCATTTTTTTTAAACATACATCTTCCTGACTCCAAAATTCAGGTTCTCTTCATTATATCTTGCTGTTGCCTTACTAATATGCATTTTATTGAACCTGATTCTTGCCTTAAAGTTATAGATTTAGAAAATTGTTTCCGTACCTTTTTGAATGCTTTTCATTGATCTTAGTAAAGGACTGACAGCAATTTAATACAAATGAATTGAAAAATTCTTGGTAATATTCATTAAGAACCTAAAGCAATGCAAATATTGAGGTTATCATTAATGAAACAGTGACAGAGTTATTTTCTGTCATCAGAAGAAGAGCGTGAAGTTTCATAATTCCCTTTTCCTACCATTATATTGCTAATACTACTGTTCTATCACTCATATGTCAGTTTGTCATATTGTGATGGCTTGTGTGTTTCTATGATGCTAGAAGCTATGCCAGCAATATTTCAAATACCAGCAGGATCCACCCATAGTGGACAGGTTATGGCAGAGCTTCCAAAGACAGACTAGGAAAAAAACTTTGGCGATCTAATTCCTAAATTGTTGTTATTTGCTGTTGTTCTGGTTACCTAGTGCTGCTCTGACAGGAATATACCACAAATGGGATGGCCTTAACAAATAGGAGTTTATTCTCTTACAGTTTGGAGGCTTTAAGTCCAAGTTCAAAGTGCCAGGCTCTAGGAGCTGGGTGAAAGCCCCTAAACCT